TTAGCCACTGGAAATGTGAACATGCCGTAATTAAGCACAGAGACTCATGGTTGCACTGGAATGATTCACCTGCCTGGGGGAAGGGTAGCTGATTGAACCCTGGACTATCATAGGGCAACAAGAGTGTGCCACCATGCTTGCTACAATCATAGATCCGCGCAACTTTTACTATTATTTTAGGCCACATGTTAACCCCCCCCCCCCCCCCCTTTTTTCCTCCTTTTCTTAATGGACAGTTCTGGTTGTTTGTACACTTCTGGACTTCATTCTTGTTCCAGAACATGAGTTTTGCGTGCACATCCATTTTACAGATTTGTTTGCAGACTGTTATTTCTCCCATTTCAGGCAGATGCACTCCGACTTCGAAGGGAAAACCCCTGATTGGTCGCCTTTTACGACTTGCTTGTTAAGGGGCTGTGGGTCTGTTCTATTTTGGGCCCCACAATGGGGCTCGGGAACCCACACGGGGGTTTTAAAAGAACCAGTATTGATGTGCCTGTTTTCATTGTTGGCTAGTTCCTGATTGGTGTTTTGGCAGCCGAGCAACTTAGATGCTGCTGTCGCCACACAGCATGCAGGCTAGAATTGTTTCAGAAGAAACCTTGAACATTGCACTGGGCAGGGGTGGTTGGTGCGGAAGGATTATATTCTAGAGGACAAATAAATCTAATAATACATTTGAAATAATATGAAATGTTGAATTGAAAAGCGACATCACAGCTCTGGGGACACCTCCCCCCCCCCCTTCCAATAAGCACTTCATTCCCATCTTCACATGGAATATGTAAACAGAAACTAGAATAGAGAACATAGTTGAAGTGACAACCCTTTTGCAAATGTTTTTTTAGAAGTGGAGCTGCGTGGGGGGGGGGGGGGGCACTCTCTCATTAATGATTGGATTCTCCTACGTATCATTGGCTGAAAATGAACGACTTCCAGTTTCCTGGACCTGCAGTGCCGATCACATCTACTTGTATCATCTCAAACATAAGGGCTGCTGCGGTGTCCAGATGTGGAGTATCATCTCAAACATAAGGGCTGCTGCGATGTCCAGATGTGGAGTATCATCTCAAACATAAGGGCTGCTGCGGTGTCCAGATGTGGAGTATCATCTCAAACATAAGGGCTGCTGCGATGTCCAGATGTGGAGTATCATCTCAAACATAAGGGCTGCTGCGATGTCCAGATGTGGAGTATCATCTCAAACATAAGGGCTGCTGTGATGTCCAGATGTGGAGTATCATCTCAAACATAAAAGCTGCTGTGATGTCCAGATGTGGAGAATCATCTCAAACATAAAGGCTGCTGCGGTGTCCAGATGTGGAGAATCATCTCAAACATAAAGGCTGCTGCGGTGTCCAGATGTGGAGTATCATCTCAAACATAAGGGCTGCTGCGATGTCCAGATGTGCAGAAGAGCCAGTTTGTCCAACGCATTCTTCTTTTTCCTTTTTCGCGTTCACCGGCTGTAAACTCTGGCTGAGAGTTCTGGCTGTTCATCCACTTTTGGACTGCAGTCCTGTTTCAGATTCTCAGTGTTGCGTGTGCATCCGTTTACAGATCTGACTCATTTTTATGCAGACTGCTGGTTCCTTGCCTCTCAGGCAGATGCACTCCGACTTCGAACGAAGCTCCCAGTTAGTCGACTCTTATGACATGCTTTTGAGTAGGCAGGGGGCCTATTCTTGTTTTCCCTATAACAGGGGCCCGGAACCGACACAGGGATCCAACGCATTCGATGTAGTTATTACAACAGGGGTAACTTGCAGGCTGAAATGAATTTTATTTATTGCCCTAACAGCGTGCCGCTTAATGTGGTACACCAAGAGTCAGTGGCTAGTACTTTTACGAGTCCTTGCCTAGTTAACAGTTTTTAACTGACACATTTGGCGTTACTTGGCTCTTGATACGTTAGTTTAATGATACACCGAGAGCCGTGGGTACACGTTTGATAGGTCAGTTTTATGATACATCGAGAGCCTGGGGTACACGTTTGATAGGTTAGTGTTATGATACATCGAGAGCCGTGGGTACACGTTTGATAGGTTAGTTTTATGATACATCGAGAGCCGCGTGTACACGTTTGATAGGTCAGTTTTATGATACATCGAGAGCCTGGGGTACACATTTGATAGGTTAGTTTTATGATACATCGAGAGCCTGGGGTACACATTTGATAGGTTAGTTTTATGATACATCGAGAGTCTGGGGTACACGCTTGATAGGTTAGTTTTATGATACATCGAGAGCCTAGGGTACACGTTTGATAGGTCAATTTTATGATACATCGAGAGCCGTGGGTACACGTTTGATAGGTTAGTTTTATAATACATCGAGAGCCGTGGGTACACGTTTGATAGGTTAGTTTTATGATACATCGAGAGCCGTGGGTACACGATTGATAGGTTAGTTTTATGATACATCGAGAGCCATGGGTACACGTTTGATAGGTTAGTTTTATGATACATCGAGAGCCGTGGGTACACGTTTGATAGGTCAGTTTTATGAAACATCAAGAGCTTTGGGTACATGTTTGATAGGTTAGTTTTATACATCATCGAGAGCCTGGGGTACACGTTTGATAGGTCAGTTTTATGATACATCGAGAGTCGTGGGTACACACTTAATAGGTTAGTTTTATGATACATCGAGAGCCTGGGGTACACGCTTGATAGGTTAGTTTTATTATACATCAAGAGCCGTGGCCGCACGGCGCAGTGTGTTCTCTGCGATCATCGACCTCGCGCTGAAGACGGCACTGCTTTAAAATGTGGGCCAGGTATTCAGGATGGCGCGATGTGAATGTTAGTCTGTTTGATTGGTTGGTTGGTTGCTTACTAGAAGACCGCAAATCTAGTTGGTTGGTTGGTTGCTTACTAGAAGACCGCAGCATCTAGTTGTTGTTTGGTTTCCTACTAGAAGACCGCAGCATCTAGTTGTTGGTTGGTTTTTTACTTGAAGACCGCAGCATCTAGTTGTTGGTTGATTGCTTAATAGAAGACCGCAGCATCTAGTTGTTGTTTGGTTGCCTACTAGAAGACCGCAGCATCTAGTTGTTGTTTGGTTGCCTACTGGAAGACTGCAGCATCTAGTTGTCCACTCTTTATGCTGGCTCAAGGAATCTGTCAGTGCTTATTCTCAGCATAATCAGTGGCTACATACGCAGTCTATGGCAAACTTGAGTGCTAGTTGTCTGAAGTGCTAGTTGTCTGCTACGGTGGTGTGGGGTTTACTGCTGCAGTCTTGAAGTCTGCAGAAAGTGCAGTTCTTACCAGGCTTTCTTCTTTCAGTCGCAAGGCTTGATAGTTGGTTGACACCACGTTAAGGCTGTTCTGAAAACCTGGGATCACAGGCCTCTGTACCCCCATACATACATATATGCACAGGTACGTACGCACGCATGCACGCACGCATATACTCACAGTGCGGACTGCTTAGTGCGATCTAAAATGGGGCGAATTTCTGTTGTGATGAGTAATTTGTTTATCCTAGGCAAGTTTCTGGATATAAATTGTGGTCACCTATCTCTAACAGTGACAGGTTGAATTTCAAACCATGATGGTTCAAAATCCGGTATCAAAACAAACAGAGAGAGAGAGAGAGAGAGAGAGGGAGAGAGAGAGAGGGAGAGAAAGAGAGAGAGAGAGGGGGAGAGAAAGAGAGAGAGGGAGAGAAAGAGAGAGAGAGAGAGAGAGATGCAGTTAGTGATGATAGTGATGAGGTTTGTGGCAGCTGGGTTGCACTCACAATAGGAGGTAAACCTATCCAAACAGAAGATAGATTTCAGTGAGTGTGTTGTGTAGGGTTATCTGTCCAAGTGGGCCCATTCTTAGAATATGTACAGGAAAGCAAAGGTGGCTGCCATGGTTTTGATCACCCATTGATCTGGTCTGGGGCGAGCATAATATACCCAGTTCACTTCACAGCCTGGAAATAGGTCTTTGTTTTTGAATTGTGTACCTCCTGGTTTTTACACTCCTATCTTTTTCTTCAGTGTTGTGATAAAGGCAAGGCTTTTTTTTTTTGAAGTTACTCAGCACTGACACTTTTTTAAAGGCATCCTTTTTCCAGCACTACTATAATAGACACTCTGTGGTGCATAATAGCACCTTTTATTATACACTTTGTGGTGAGTACCGGCACCTATAAAAATAATCTTTAGGAAGAGAAAAAGCCGTGGGTGTTTCACATTGTACTGTTAGCCACTTGGATGCCCAACAGAGAAAAGCAATGAGAATAAAATAAAGATATATTGTTTGTAGAGCCCTGCATGTAGTGAAGAAATGATCACTGGGGATGACTTGATTCCTAGCCTGTTTTTGAGCTCTCCAAGTGGCAACTTCAGGACATAGTGGAACATTACTAACCCCTTCCTGGGTCCGATTTCTCCCTCTCCAGAGGTACCAACCTTTGCTTCTAGGTGGACCTAGCCTAAAATGGGTACCAGGCAAAATCCTGGTAAGTTTAGCTGGCCGACATGATGTTGCCTGATTGGTATTTTTAAAAAAATGAGTTTAGCATCATAAGCCCCTGCGCTGCTGGCATGAAAATGGTCCTTTACATTTTACAGACCCCTTTGACAGTCTTGTAGCATACAAAGTACATCATCAGCAGGCTTTGTCACAATAGACACCAAGGTCTCTTCATTAGATCTTTCATATCATGATGTCAGAGTGTCCTCTTCTTCTCTCTTGGTCTCCCTCTGCCCCTTCTCCCCTCAAACTTTCCGACTATCACGATATACTCCAGTGACATGACATGACCAAAGAATGTAGACAATTTTACATTCTAATGTTTGCAGTCATTTCTCATCGTGAGTCAGTTTCCTTCAAGATATTCTGTCCAGAATGCCTCCCCCACATCAAGAAAAAGACAATCTTGGTAATTATGAGCTCAAACACTGAATCACCGGCCCCTCTATGTAATAAAATAAAATGAATGTTTACTGAACTTTAGACAAGCGGAGATGATTCATAAAGTGTGTTCATGTTGTCATACAGGGGACAGTATTCACTTGAAGATTCTGGTGCCCAGCGTGGTGGCTGGAGCAATCATTGGCAAAGGGGGAGAAACTATTGCTCAAATACAGAAGGAGGCTGGTGCTCGGGTGAAGATGTCCAAGGCAAATGATTTCTATCCAGGTGAGCAGTTTAATTTTGTGGTGTCATTTCTCTTGGTACATATTGAAAGACAGAGAATGAATTGGTTTGGCCATTTAGTAAGAATGCAACCGGATCAGATTGCCTATAAGGCCTTTTACAGTAGAACATCGGGAAGAAAGGCCAGAGGAAGACCCAGGAAAAAATGGATAGATGGAGTAGCTGAATACGGCCAGAAGATCTAGAAAACTGTCACTCAAATCACACGAGAGGCACAAAACAAATATTTTAAACCACGACACTGGGCTGCAACCAGTAAAAGTGAAGAAGACAATAGATTACTCTTGGTATTTATGTTTAGGGCTTGCAGATGTCATGTCTGGGAGTTTTGTGTGTGTGTGTCTTTTTATTTTAAGTTTGAAAATATTTTAGAGCCACATTTAAAATAAATGGTATTTTCTAACAAAATTATTTCCCGAATATATATATATATTTTATTTGACTTTTTGACATATTTGAAACAGTTTGGGTTGACTGATTAGAGTGGGAGTTGGGAGGGGGAGGGGGGCTAGCTGAACTGTTAGAATGTTAGGCTCTCATGCAGAAAACCCAGGTTCGATCCTTATTGAAGATTTGTTTCCTGCCCGGGTCAAGAATAAACAAATTTAAGACTGCACAGTTCATGGCGACCGCAGTAGCCACAAAACCTTAAATTTGCAGTCTCATGACTTCCCTGTCCTGCACCTCCATGAAGGTATTTTATTCAGTCAGTCAAGATAGAACCACAGTTATTGTAAAAACAAAGCAAAGACATTTGCAGATTGTGTCAGTTCACCACAGAATAGCTGGTTCTAATTTCCATGCTTTTAGTTTATTTTGATTTCATTTCTTCTTCTTCTTTTTTGCGTCCACCAGCTGTAAACTCTGGTGGAAGGTTCTGGTTGTTCGTCCACGTCTGGACTGCAGTCCTGTTCCAGAATCTTAGTGTTGCTTATGCTGACGCATTTGTGTGTAGATTGTTTGTTCCTTGCCTCTCAGGCAGATGCACTCCGACTTCGAAGGAAGCTCCCAATCAGTTGACTCTTACGACATGCTTTTGGGTAGGCAGTGGGTCTATTCTTGTTTTCCCTATAATAGGGCCCCGGAACCCACACGGGGGTGATTTAATTTAATTTTCCCCAATGTGCGTTCCAGGGCTCCAATTTGGGAAATGATAGACACACAGCCCCCTAACAAGTCTGTTGTAGGAGGTGACTAATTAGCAGTATTGTTTTCAGAGTTGGAGTGCATCAGCCTGGAAGGCAAGGAACTAACAGTGTGCTTACAAATAAGCCAGATCTGTAAAACAGATGTGCATACAAAACTCAAGTGCTGGATGAAGACCAAAGCCAGGAATGGACAGACACCCAGAACCTGCCGCCGGAGTCTACAGCTGCTGAATACTAAGAAGATTTCATTTTAAAGTAAAAAAAAAAAACCCAATGCAGCAATCAATGATTTCCTTTTAAAAAAAACACACATACAGCAATGATTTTCTGGGGGGGGGGGGGGGGGGGGAATACAGCAATGATTTCCTTGAAAAAAACTAATACAGCAATGATTTCCTTGAAAAAAAAAACAAATACAGCAATGATTTCCTTGAAAAAAAACTAATACAGCAATGATTTCCTTGAAAAATAAAACACATACAGCAATGATTTTTCTTTAAAAAAAAATACAGCAATGATTTCCTTTGAAAACAAACAAATACAGCAATGATTTCCTTTAAAAAAAATTACATCAATGATTTCCTTAAAAAAAAAAAAAAAACAGCAATGATTTCCTTAAAAAAAAAAAAAGCAATGATTTCCTTAAAAAAAAAAACAGCAATTATTTCCTTAAAAAAAAACACAAAAACAGCAATGATTTCCTTTAAAAAAAACAACCAATACAGCAATGACTTCCTTAAAAAAAAAAAAAAAAATGATTTCCGTTAAAAAAAATACAGCAATGATTACCGTAAAAAAAATGCAGCACTGATTTCCTTTTAAAAAAAACTGTGGCTTGTCTCCCAACTGATAGGTACAACAGAGCGCATCTGCTTGATCATGGGATCTCCAGAGGGCGTCCGTCAGGTCAACAATTTCATCATGGAGAAGATTAGAGAGAAACCCGAGTCTAGTCCGGCCACACCGACAAAACCTGATGATGCCAAAAATAATTTTGAAAGGCATCGACAGGTAATGGAGGTATTTCCGGCTGCATTTCCATCCTCATCTTTGTTTTAGACATGAATTGAAACTAAAGTCTTGCTAGTTGTTGCTGAAGAGTTTTTATAATGCTCATTCATAATAGTTATTGATACGTGTTTATTTTTGCTCATTTGTAATAGTTGGTAATTTTTTTTATTTAGAGTATTCATAAAAGTTGTTTGTAAGACATTATTATTCAGCTCATGTATAGTAGCTATTGGTGAAATGTCTTTATTCAGCCCATTTGTAATAGTTCTTGGCAAAGTATTTTTATTTAAAAGTAAAGTAAAAAGTAAAGTAAAAAGTAAAGTAAAAAGTAAAGGACCCTTTTCCACGCCTTTATACATATAGGGCTTGGACCTATATTTTTATAGACCAATCGGCACAAGATGGGTGATGTGGTCAGCATCACGCTGGCCGCCTTTACTTTCCGGGACTGCTCTCAGTACCCACTCAAGGCTGGGTCAACCTGGGAGTCAAGGTCATTTAAAAAAAAAAAAAAGCCTGGCTTGTATTTTTATTTAGCCCATTTATAATAGTTCTTGGTAAAGTATTTTTTTTAGCCCATTTATTTTAGTAAAGTATTTTTTAAATAGCTTATTCATAATTGGTTTTGGTAAAGGTTGTTTATTTAGCCACGACCGGCTCCAGCTGGCGGGCCATGCTGCTGACGTCACCGAGTCAGGCTAACGATGTGGTAATGCAGCGGTTCTCAAACAAGAAATAAACTATTTCCGACAGTGGCGAGGGCAGACAACTTACATTTCAACTTTTAAGTATCTACATGCCTTCTTTAATAATTTTACAATTTTTAGCTGACTTTTCTTGATTATTACCGCGACACCCCTGGCATACACTCACGGCACTCCGAAATGCTTCGGCACCCAGTTTGAGAACCGCTGCTTTAACGCAGTAGCACGGCCCGTCAGCTGGAGCCGGTCGTGATTTAGCTCTTTTTTGGCGTCTATGGCTTAGGTGTTGTGAACATGCTTCATTATTCTGGGGTGCCAAGTTCGATCGCAGCTGCGGGCCATTTGGCAGCACACTGCCATGCATTGGTTTTGACAATGGTTTAGGGGGCCAACCGTTAAGTCAGCATTGGCAAACTACTGAATGTGAAATTGCCTAATAAAATCACAACCAGACAGAAATGCCGGGGTTGGTTCTGCAACGTCCTGTAAAGGAGAATCAACAGACTTTTCTTCAAACAAACAATAGTCTGTGAAGCGTTTTTGTTGGTAACATATTTGTTAAAGCTAATTTGTAATTGGTATTGGTAAATGGTTTTTTTTTAATAAGTTTGTTTGAAATAGTTTTTTATATCTTTTTATTTAACTAATTCACAGTAGTTGTTGCACAATATTTTTATTAAGCTCATTTATAATGGTTGTCAGCAAAGCATTTTTTTTATTAAGCTCTTTCATAATTTAAGTGACACTTTAAACAAAAAAACTGTTAGGTTTCTAGGTCATCTCAAGTAAAAGCGGCGGACATAATTTTAACATTTCCATTAAAAAAAAAATAATATTACGGACCGCTTAAATTTGATCTGCGGACCACCAGTTGAGAACTACTGCTATATGAATGTAGTTTGTAGCAAAAGCACATAAAATATTTAAGCTACCCATTTTACAAACAAACAATAAAAGGTTATGGCCCATTTTGACCACAGTCCTCACTTACACTATTACATTCAGACATCACTTAGCACGTGTCGCATCTGATTCTTATTTACAGTTTCTGGGATACATTGTTATTAAACTTACGTGTCTCAACAGATGAAGGTACTTATACCAAACAGTACGGCTGGAATGATTATAGGCAAGGGAGGCAGTTACATCAAACAGATCAAGGAGGAAAGTGGGGCATATGTGCAAATTTCACAGAAGTCAAAAGAGACAAATCTTCCAGAAAGATGTATTACTATTGCTGGTAAGTGTCATTGCATCATCTCTCCTGTGTCGTCGTTTGGGCACGCATAACTGGAGCCAGATGTTACTGGGGCCCATAAGGTGAGCACAGAAAAATAACACTGGTGGCACAGTGATTTCGGTCATCACAGGCATGAGGGAAAGTTGTGGCTGTTGTGATGTGTATAAGTGTGTATAAGGAGATTCTCAACACCACACCTTGCTCTGTGCTGGTTTTGTGGATTCTTATGCAAAACTCCGGCCATACATCCCCATTGTGCGCTAAGGATAATGGGTCATATTGACCTAAACTGAGCTTGCAGGGGATCTTGAGTCAGTGTGTGGTTCTGTTGGTATGTGGCTCTGACAGTATGTGATTCCGAGAGTGTGTGGTTCTGTCAGTGTGGGGTTCTGTCAGTGTGGGGTTCTGTCAGTGTGGGGTTCTGTCTGTATGTGGTTCTGTCAATGTGTGGTTCCGTCAGAGAGCGGTTCCATCAGTGTGTGGTTCCGTCAGTTTGTGGTTCCGTCAGTGTGTGGTTCTGTCAGTTTGGGGTTCTCTCTGTGTTTGGTTTTATCATTGTGGTATTCTGCCAGTGTTTGGTTCTGTGTAGTCTTGGCGTGCCTGATTATTGTTCAGCAGTTCATTTTTCTTTCTGCAAATTCGGGCACATGTCCTGCCACAGAGGATGTCAGCAGAAGCATGTGAGAAAAGCAACAGTACAGCACACATCATAAATACATTATACACATAACAGTTGTGACACGTCTCCCTCCCCCTCAACACGCACAGATTGCATAACTCCTTTAATACCAAATGGGTGCTGCTATAACTCAATCTCTTCTAATTTATTTGATTTGATTTGATTGAAGAACTGACATCACAACACTACGCATTACCAAA